AAGACTGAATTGAAGAGTTGGTTCTTTTTTTATTTTAAAGAGAATAAAGCAAAACAAAGCAAAACAAAACAGAACAAAGCATATCAGGACAAAACAATGCAAATAACACAGGATTTCAGAACAAGACAACAGGAAATCAACAGTGGCTACTGTAATGTCTCGTTTTCTTTGAAATAGCTATCCATACCTTCTGACACAATAAGTCAATATATAACAAAATAATATAAAAGGAATCAAAACAAAGGAAGGAGAGCCTTATGAGCCTTCAAAACTAAACAATAGGAAATCAATAATGGCTACCATAATGTCTCCTGTTTTCTTCAAAACAGTTGTCCATACCTTCATACCTATCAAAATCAAATAATTCAAAACAGACTAAAACCAATCAAAACCAAGAATAAAGGCATTATTGGATTTCAGAACAAAATAATAGGAAATCAGCAATGGCCACTATGAAAAGAGTTGGTTCTTTGAAAGATTAAATATAATAGACAATCTCTTAGCCAGCCTTATCAAGAAAAGTAATAAACAGACTCAAATCTATGTAACCAGGAATGAAAAGGGAGAAATCACAATGTACCTTGCAGAAACCCAGAAAATCACTTATACCTACTTTGAAAATTTGTATTCTAATAAGATGTAAAATACAGAAGAAATGGACAGATTCCTACAAACATGTGAATTAAGAAGTTACAAAAATCCTAAACATTTCTATATCAATCAATGAAATTGAAGATGTAATTAAAAACTCACCAATTAAAGAAAAGCCCAGGCACTGACAGATTCACTGCTGAATTCTAAAAGAAATTTAGAGAAGACCTAGCACCACTACTTCTCAAATTCTTTAATGAAATTGAAATAGAATCAATACTTCTAAATTCATTCCTGGAAGCAAGCATTACCCTGATACCAAAACCAGAGAAGGACTCAACTAAGAAAGAGAATTACAGGCGAATCTCCATAATGAGCATTGCTGCAAAAATCCTTAATTAAAATACTGGCAAATAGAATGCAGCAAGTCATCAGGAAGATTATATAACATGTTGAAGTGAGATTCATTCCAAGGATGCAGGGAAGGTTCAACATACGTAAATCTACCAGTGTAATACACCATATTAACAGAGGCAAGAACAAAAATCATATGATCATCTCAATAGATGTAGAAAAATGTTTTGACAAAGTCCAGCATCCATGCATGATAAAAACCCTCCAGAAAATTGAAATAGATGGTCTTTATCTCAATCTGATGAAAGCCATCTGTGACAAAGCAACAGCCAACATCATATTAAATGGACAAAACTGAAAACTGTCTCTGTAAAATCAGAAACAAGACAAGGAGGTCCATTGTCTCCACTCTCATTCAACATAGTCCTGGAAACTTTAACTGGAGCAGTTAGACAAGAGAAAGAAATAAAAAGAATAAACATAAGAAAGGAAGAAGTTTCCATGTCATCATTTCAAGATGACATGATACGCTACTTAGAAGATCCCAAAAACTCCACCAAAAAATACTAGATTTTTTTTTTGGTCTTTTTCGTTTTTATTGGTACCAGGGATCGACCTCACGACTGCCTGCTTGCAAGGCAGGTGCTTATGCCGCTGAGCTAAATCCCCAGCCCCTAAAAAATACTAGATTTAATAAGGAAATTCAGTAACGTAGCTGGTTATATAGTCAACACTCTAAAATCAATAGCCTTTGGGGACAGTCAGACCCAACCTCTCTCGTTGAGTCAGCGCCATTTGTGGATTGCAGAGGGAGAGAACCAGGCTTCACCAGGAGACCCATTTGGAAATCATATCATTTTCATTGTTTAGTTGGGTTGAGTCTTATTGTCTTTTGTTTTGTTTATGTTAAATCTGATGGTATGAGCAGCTATTTAAAAGATAGCAAGACATACTATGGTAGCCATTTTGGATTTACTATTGGTTTGTTTTGAAGTCCTTTATTACATCCATTGTTATGTTTTTATTGTTTCTATTCTGTTATGTTTGACTTTTACTATGACAAAAGGTATGTAGAGCTAGTTTGAAAGCAACAAAAGGCATCATGTTAATTATTGTTGATTTTATAAGGTTTTGAGGTTCTGTATCACATATGATGGTTTATTTTGATTGGTTTTATTCTGTTTTATTTTCCCTGGTTTTACCCTCTTTAAAATAAAATAAAATTTAAAAGAATCAATAGCTTTCATGTACAGGAACAGCAAAATCACTGAAAGAGATATCAGGGAAACAATACCTTTTACAATAGTATCCAAAAAAAAAAAAAAAAAAAAAGAAAAGAAAAGAAAAGAAATACCTGGGAGTCAATCTAACAAAGGAGATAAACGATCTCTACATTGAAAACTACAGTACACTGAAAAAGGAGGTTGAAGAGGATTTTAGAAAATGGAGAGCTATCCAGTGCTTTTGGGTAGAAAGAACCAATACAGTGAAAATGGCGATACTTCTGAAACTGTCAAACAGATTCAATGCAATCCCAATCAAAATTCTAATAGCATATCTCTCAGAATTAGAGAAAACAACCCTAAAATTCACCTGGAACCAGAAGAGACTTAGATTAACAAAGGCAATCCTGGGCAACAAAGATTAGACAAGAGGTATCACAATCCCTGACTTGAAATTATAGTCTAAAGCTACTGTGACAAAAACAATGTGATACTGGCAAGAAAACAAACCTGAAAATCAATGAAACAGGTTAGAAGATGCAGAAACAACTCCAGATACACTAAGCTAACTTACCTTTGACAAAGGTGCCAAACAGATTCACTGGAAGAAATATAACCGCTTTAATAAATGGTGCTTGAAGAACTGGCTCTACACAGGTCAAAGATTAAAACTGGACCCAAGTCTTTCACTGTGTACTAAGATAAAATCAGGATAGATCAAAGATCTTGATATTAAAACAAGAACATTAAATCTGCTGGAAGACAGAGTAGGTAAAATTCTTAAAGACATTGGTGTAGGCAAAGACTTTATGAACAAAACCTAGATTGTACAGGAACTATCTCAGAGAATCAACAACTAGCATGTCATCCTGTTGAAAAGCTTTTGCACAGCAAGAGAAAGTACCAACAGAGTGAAGACACAACGGAGTGAAATGGAATGGAGTGAAGACACAACGTGGGAGAAAGTGCTTTCCAGCTATACCTCAAGGTATTACTATCGAGAACATATAAGGAACTTTAAAAAATCAGTCCTACCAGATTTAAACATCTGGTCCAAAAATGGGCATCTGAGATGAATACACACTTCTTAGATGAAGAAATATGAACAGTAAATAAATTTGTGAAAATCATCACTGGTCATTTGAGAGATGCAAATTAAAACAACACTTAGATTCCACCTTCCCCCAATAAGAATGGCTTATCAAGAAATGGATTATCAAGAAATCAAGCAATAACAAATGCTGGAGGGAATGTGGGGAAAAAGGAACTTTTCCCCCGTGTTGGTGGGAATGTAGACTGGTATAGTCACTGTGGAAATCAACGTGGAAATTTCTCAAAATACTAATACTAGAGGTCCAATTCAACCCAACTATTCCCCTTTTTGGTATCTTCCCAAAAGAATTAAAAACATCATATACCACAGCAATATATGTGCACCCATGTTTATAGCAGCACAATTTTTATTAGCTAAATCTTGGAAACAACCTCAAAGCCCATCAACTGAAGAATGGATAAAAAAAGATACAGTATTTTTATACAATGGGGTACTACTCAGCCATAAAGAAAGATGATAAACTGGAGGCTTTTTTAGGTAAATGGATGCAACTTGAGATAATATTCATTAGTGAAATAAATGACATATATGCGTAAGCACTGTATTGTTTCATTAGTGTAAGAAGCTAAAAGAAACAACATGTGTATATATGTATGTATATGCATACATATATAAAAAGTAGTTAAGATAGTTGTACTACTGATTTCTCTGAGTTCACTGAAGAGAAAGATTTGTGCTGGTATTGTTGGGACAATTGAATGCAGGTGTCTTGTGCTCCTGGTGAATGATTTGGGGATGACAATGGACAATGTATTTATCATTGTTGTTCCCTGATTGACATGTTTTGAAATTTAGTTTTAGTTTTTCCTTTTTTTTTTCTCCATGAAATAAAATGGATTTGGAAAAGAAGTAGTAGCATTTCCTTCCTATTTGAAAATTTCAGCTATTACGGAAATCAGAATTTCCCTGGTGATGTTTTATGTCTCACTAGACTACAGTCAACAAACGCCTGTCCAGACAACAGGGCACAAGAGTGGAGAGCCCTGCTAGTGGCTCGGCCTACAGTACAGTAGACACAGAATAATGTAGGGATAGAAAGGCTGAGAAGTGTGTGTAGAAACAGGAAACTCAGAGTGTGCTACTGAGGTGGAGCTGGTTTATTAGCTTTGGATATTTTGAGGTAAATCCTCGTTCTTTTCATTCAACTATGTACCAGTTGCTTAAAATGTTACCAAAATAACTGTAGGATGTTCTGTGTTTTCAAGGGCACTATTTTGTAGTAAGGAGAAGAAGTATCCTTAAACACTAATCAAGGTAGATTGTTAGAAGAAGGTATGGGAGGCACCAGAAGTACAATCAAGACAAAGGAGAAATAAATTTTACCCTTGATCTTTAAAATAAATAAGTTAATTAAGCAACATAAGGAAAATCTGTAACCCCTCAAACCTGTTGATTCAGTAGGCAGATCATGTATACGCTTTCCACTGTTTAAAACAAAACGCATCATTGTTGGTAAACCAGGACTGTGAGCCAGTAACTACTAAGAGAATGTTTTCTTATAGTTCCCTTTGCTTTCATAAACAAAAGATCAATTACAGAGCTTTCAGTAATGAGTCAAAATACTGCAGCGACTTTGACATTCCATAAATTACTGAGAAACAAGAAACAAAGCCAAGAGTAACTATACAAATAATGATTCATAAGTTTAAGGAGAACATCAAGTTGCCTTGGTGCCTATCAGCAGAGGAGCTTATTTTATTGTATTTCATTTTATTTAGAACATTCAACCAAACTGTCGGGACGTTTGAAGAACTCCAAAAATACCTTGAGGGGTACGTGGCGAACCTGACCCGTGATGATGAAAAAAGACATGCGAAGTAAGTGGGAGAGCCCCCAGATTTGCCTTTTGGCAGCAGCTGAAGGAGGGGATACAGGGTGTGAGTGCCCGTGGTAACTTCCAATAGTTCTTCACACGAAGATAGCACTTCACACTAGAACAGCGATTATGAAGTTTCTAAGTAGTTAGTAACTCTATTTTGGGTGATGAATAGGAATTTTAGGGAAAAAAACATTGGTAACTTAGCCCGAAGGACAACAAAACTTGAGTATAGGCAAGGAATATGGTTATAGTGAGAATTTTTCAAAATGTAAAAGAGCTACCGCCTAGTGACAAGTGTACACTTGCACATGAGTGTGTGTGTGTGTGTGTGTGTAGAGATCGGGTGGAGCTGTAATTCAATAGAAAATCTATTTTAAATGAAAATTATTTCCTAAAGCTTTCCAATTTTTATTTTATGTGTTTATTTCTGTAGTACTGGGGATCAACTCCAGGGCCTTGCACAGGCGAGGCAAGTGCGATGCACTAAGCTGCACTCCTAACCCTTAAAACATTTCTGAATGAAAGTTTAAACACATATTCACCAGATAGTGGTATCAAAGTTGTATCATCAAAATTTGTAGAAGAGTGATATCTGACACATATCTACTGTATTTTTTGCAAAGAATACATTTGCAAAACCAAGCCTTGCCCACTCACAGCTTACAAATATATACCTCAGAGAAGCATGCCTTAGTTAAGAGAATGATAGATATTTCCAAACATTTCATAGACACACAGTCATAAATGTGCTTTCTGTGTTTCACAAAGCAGTTACGCTGGGTGAGTCACAGGAAAATAGATTGAATAAAAGTACCAAAAGATGGCAGAGATTTGCAGTGTGGGCTTTTCTGGTATGTGCGGCGTACCAGAAATGGTTCTGTGCTTCTATCACGTTCCACTGCCTCCTTTCCTGAGTTGTATATTTGAGGCTGTATTGAGGTATATTTCAATTTGACTTGACCATTTCCTGTTGTGTATAGGTATTATTTTTCTCCTCATATGTGTCTGAATCTTGTCCTATCATACCAAAGTTGATATAGGTTTTGTGGCAACTCTAGTCAGTGCTACAGGCAGAAATAAGACCTCCAAGAGTGGAGTTTCTGGTAGGCATGGCATCTGCTGGAGTGCCACCCAACTGCGAGTGTGTAATGTTTCGCTTTTCTTGTTCAGGCGGTCCATGTCTAACTGGAAGCTGTCCAAAGCACTCTCTCTGGAGATGATTCAGCTGAAGGAGAAGGTGGCCAGATTTTCCTCTTCATCCCCCTTCCAGAACCTTGAGATTATCGCAACACTGGGCGTTGGTGGGTTCGGAAGAGTTGAGCTTGTAAGGGGTTTACGTTTCAAGCATCTGAGAGAAGCCTTTTGAATTTTTTTGTTTTATGTTCTAGCTGATCTTGGAGGAATATGTGAATTATAATTGCTATGTTAAATATTGGTTTGGTCTTAAATCAAGGAAGCGAACTTTTCAATCTGTGTGTTGTATAGTAGCAGGTGTGCCGTAGTAAGTAACTTGTTGTAATTGGCTGATAGTTCAAGCTGCTTGCATCAAATCTTTGGTGAATTTATTTTCTTCATCATGATTATCAAAGAATGTAGTGAGTAAGCATTTACAAAAGCTGTAAAACAGAAAACAGACTTGCATTTCTGATCAGCAAAATATGTATATAAAGATATACATACTTACAACATATTAACTTTCCATACACTTAAGAAAAGAATGTTTTCAGCAGAATTTGTCTACAGATTCAATTGTGGATATTATGGTTACAGCCCTTAAACATCTCCACTGCCATGCCTGTTCTTTTGCCTTTTATCATCCTATTTTTGAGTTGTTCAACATTTTCCACATGAAAAAGGGCAAAAAAGCTGATTCAAAAAACCATTTGAAGAGCAGCCTTCTGCGTGTTGACAGGGCAACTGGAAACTTCTAGGCTGACTGCAGTTGTATCTTCCACATCGCCACCTGTCTGTGCTTAATAATCAGTTTTCAAGAAGTAGCCGAGCAGCACTGTCAGATCAAGTATTCTGACGAAGCTGTGCAAAGGAAATTTGTAACCTTATCGGGTGCAGATGGCTCAGAGACCTTGGCAATTACCAAGTCCTTCTTTGCCCATCAGACTTTTAACAATTGAATGTGCACTGACCTCTGGGAGCTATGCTGATGCCTCTATCTGCTGATGGCCCCAGGCAGGAGCAGATCAGTCATATTGCTGAAGACCCTGGATAGTACACTCCACATCTAGCCCATACCTCATCTCTGGTGGGTGTGGGAAAATGGTTTAATAGGTCAACAAACATTTGCAATATTTCTTATTCCATATGGAGAGATAAGGGTATTATCCATCTGCAGTGGCATTTCTCACCAAAGATGATGTTGAAAAGACTGAATTAGCAATGCTGTAGTCTGTTATCCCTGACAACAATGATTGAAGCAGTAATGCCAACAGTGATTTAAAAGTTGTAAACAGTGAGCAAAATCCAGAGTGCATTTTTTGCACACCTTGCATTTTTTAGGCTGCTTATGGAGTTTTAAACCTGTCAGAACAAAATGCTTATTTTTAAATTTTAGCTTCCTTTTAAAGGAAAATTCTGATTTTACTTCTAGACTAGCACTGTCCAATAGACAGTGTACACTGATGGAGATGTCCTACATCTGTGCTGTTGAGTTGGGTAGTCAGTAGTGGGTTGTGGCTGTTCAGTGTGGGAGATGGAGCTAGAGCAACCGGGGAACTGAATGTAGAATTTTAATTAATTTAAAATTTTCTGGATGAGGGTGGATGCTTGCAATCCCAGCATAAGGGACTAGGAAGCAAGAAGCAAGTTGGACCCTAGCTTGAGCAAGCTGGCAAGCTTTTGTCTTAATAGAAGAAATCAATAAAAGTTTGAAGGGCTGGGATATAGCTCAGTGCAAAAGCTCTGAGTTTAATCCCTAACACCACAGTAAATAAATAAATAACCAATCCAACTCCTGTGATTGGTAACTACCCTACTGAATAACCTAGATACAGAACTTGATTTAAATGCTTTACTTTGAAAAACAAAAAGATGACTATTAAGACATACAAATTCATGCCAGAGTTTTTCATGTTATTCAAGCAATCTGAATAGATGCCTAAAGATTAAGTCTCTAGCTGGAATTTTTTCTTGTTTCAATAAAATTAAAACCTTAGATCCAGCTATCTGAACTGTCTTGGAAATTATGGTTAAAGGAAAATGTGTACACATACATGGAACTCAGTTTTAGGGGATTAGGGGTTAAAAGTTTACCTGTTATTTAAATACAAAATGACTTTAGCTCTCTTTGATTAACATTTTAAGTAGATATTGCCTATCTTCCCTAGTACGTTCATTTTGAGTGTCTTGCTGCTTTCTATATAGGTTAAGGTAAAAAATGAGAATGTGGCTTTTGCCATGAAGTGCGTAAGGAAGAAGCACATAGTTGATACCAAACAGCAAGAGCACATCTACTCTGAGAAGAGGATCCTGGAGGAGCTGTGCTCTCCATTCATTGTGAAGTAAGTGGACAGTTTGCCTTGCAAGACTCCAGTTGTAGGCTCATCTTCTGAATGATGAGACTTGGGTGAAGAGGAGTTTTGTTCCAAATTCTCCAGTAGGATCTAAGCGTAGAGTCCCTGGTAGTTTCTCCTGCTGAGTAACCTTTCCAAAAAGTATATGTGTGTGTGTGTGTGTGTGTGTGTGTGTGTGTGTGTGTGTGAGTATAGAATTATTGCAGAATAATTTGAACTGATTATTTTATTCAAACCTAATGTAGACTTTGGGAGTAGGGAAACCTCACTCCACAAAAAACCTCTAGAAGAGTGTGCTGGTGTTGAATTTCGCAGAAAGTGGCAGTTTGGTACAGATTGGCTGCAAGAGGATACATATTCTGGTCCTAGCAATGCCTAGGTACCAAAGGAACTAACAGGTATTTTTTTTCTGTAGCTATCACCAGAGTTTGGAGGAGAAACAGATTATTCTAGGCCAAAGCTCTCTTTACCTGTGAATTCATGAATTAGTGTTATAAGTGATAATGTGATTTCTGGATGACATACTGTGTCTCTGTGATGAAGAGAATTTTTAGTTTATGATTGAATGCCTAGAGAAAACCCACTCTTACCCACTCAGACTTACTTTTTTTCAAGATTAAAAAAGAAGACGACCCAGTCACTGCTGGCAGTAGTCATCCAATTATCTTTATTTTAATGATGGTCTCAGGATGTCCTTTTTGAATTAATATTCATTAATGAACTATGATGAGCAGCTTCAGGGCATGGATTAGGTTGTATTCATTTTTGCATTTCTAGCTCTTTGTAAAGTGGCGTACTATAGAGAAGTATGAGGAAGAATAAGTATTAATGGCAATATTTGTTGGACAGAGAGATTAACATGCACCAGGCTCTCTTCTAAGCCATATACATAGAGAGAGGGAGTGGGAAAAATCACCAGATTTACCCTCACTGGTCTAGTAGGAGGATCAGAGGAATATATTTCCAATAAATACCCATCAGCAATTTATTTATGGTATACAATCAAATGATTATATATGAGCAAGCTGGACTGCATAACTGTGAAGTGCCTGACCTGAGATTCCAGCCTGGGCTGTGTGCTTCTGGGGCCCACTCAGAACTAGGTTCCTAGAGTTGCTTCTCTTTGTCCAGATCTGGCTGTTCTTCTGTCAGTCTTAGCCTACATGTAGCGCTAGGGGGAAAAGGGGAGACCCAGGAACTCCTTGCACCTCGTGTTGAATAGTATCCCCTGTCGAGGCTCCACTCCAGTACCGAGGCTCCCCTCTTCCAGCTTCTGAGAATGTTTTCAGCAAAGGGTTTGCTCACGTCTCAGGCACTGTTCCTGGTAAGGGGAACCACCTTCCCACCAAGTCCCCTTCAGGGACATTCTCATCCAGGGCAGCAGAGCTCCTTGAAGGTGGGGCTCTGTTAAAACAATTGAGATCCCAGCTCAACTCTGTTTCTGCCCAGTCCGTTTCCTTTGATGTTCCTTTCCAGTGATGTTCCTAAGTGCACTCCTCACTACATTCACTGCTTAAAAGTCTGTCTCAGGGACTCCAATATCAGGTAACATTTAGGGGACATAAGGCATGAACATGAATAACTATTATGCACAGTGACACACGTGAAGTCCTGTGGCTTCTGGGGAAAGGGAGAACAAATTTGGTGGGTGGGTGGGAGAGTGAGCTGCTTTATTAAGAACGTAACCTTGAAGAATGGACCTTAAATATTTTACAGTGAAACTCAGATGGAGAAGTTCACTCTGTGGGAAGAGGGCGGGCAGGCTCAGGAAAAGGATCCACGTAAGCAGATGCGAGGCAGAGAAGATGAAAAAATTTCTGACCTGAAGCCCAATGTAGTTATAGGGTATTTGTATGGAGATGAGGATCATCATTAAATTTGCATCAATAAAGTAAAAATATTTTAAAGTATATTCAAGAAATAACCACATGCTTAATATGTCTTCACAGATTATATCGTACTTTCAAGGATAATAAGTATGTATACATGCTTCTGGAAGCCTGCTTGGGTGGAGAACTGTGGAGCATATTGAGGGACAGGTAATGAAAAAGAGTTCTCAGCAACAGATTTTGTCTACTCACATCTAGTGTAAAGGAAATTGTATTCATGATCAAAGAGCATAAAGGAAATTATTAGGAAATGATTATAATAAAATATGTTATCTCTTGATAAAGTAGAAATAGTGATATTTTATTATCTCACATTATACTTGTGTCATATGAACCCTGTAAAATAATCCTTATTTTAGATATTAAGAAATCCTAGGGTTGGAAATATTAAAGGATCCATAGTCATATGGCTATTACTAGGCAGAATCACAGTACAAACTCAATCTTAAATTTTAAGGAAAAGAGATGTTTTAGGAAGTGGTAGAACCCTAACTGAAAAGCACAAGAAGATTTTTTGCAAAGGTTCAGTTTTTAGCAGTGGGCGATTTCCAGGCAATTGAAATCTCAGATATGTACAATGCACCACTTCTACAGAAGACTTCATAGGAGAGAGTATGGGGATTCTCTAGAAAAAGTAGGTTTTTTTTTTTTTTCCTGACTGGCAAACTAACAGTGTAAACATTTTGTTAACAACTTTAGAGTTTATTTGGGGAAATTAGTGTTTTAAAATGTTTTCACTAATATGAAAACTAAATATGAGAAAGGCATTGGTAATTTATAATTAAATGGCATAAGAGTGCTGGCATAAGAGCATGCTCAGAAGAAGGAAGCAAGAAAATAAACATGTGATAGAGGAAGACTTTGAACTAAACTGCGAAGATGATCAAAAGTTTAAAAAGGTAGCGAGACAGGCAGGGACAACACGGAAAAGTCGGCATAATACCACACCGGTTCGCCTGTGGATGCCGAACAGGATTTGAAAAAGGATAATGGTAGCAGAGGCAGAAATGAGAAAGTAGGTTGCATTGGACATGGTCTCACTTGGGGCAGTGGTCTCAGCTCTGGGTACATGTGACAGTCATGTGGGAAGCTTTAAAAAGTAGCAATGCTGGTTACCAAGGCCAGAGGAGATAATATTTTTAGTACCTCTCAGGCAATTTAAATATGCACCGAGCCAGGCAAGTAAAGACCACTGAGTTTCTGAGTAGAAGGAGAAAGTGCTGTTAAGAAGGTACCATTAGATGGACTTGAATGGGGAAAATTTGGAAGACTGAGCAGATTTTTATAATATATGCAAAAGCATCAGCCTCCTTAATCTTTGCTTCGCTAAGCAAATCTATTTAGAAAATTTAAATCTATACTAAAAAGGCGGTTCCAACTACTTTTTAGGCACTGTGGTTAGTGTTGATAGCAACCCTATTAAACAAGCAGTAAACCTAATTTATAGGCATAGATTCTAAAGATTACAGGAGGCAAATAATTTGTCCAAGAGTACAGAGAGAGGAGGAAGGAGAGGTCTAAGCTAGTTTTGCCCCCTCCAAAGCCTTCCCCTTCTGCCATGTCATGAGACAAATCACCCCACAGTGTAAAACCTCAGTATGTAAAGCGATGCAACATGCCAGCATGGGGAACTTTTAATACAACTTCAAAGGGCACCCAACAGGAAAGAGATACGGCCCCTTTTTTCCTGGTTACAGGCTGTGCAAACAGGACCCGAAAGGTGATCCCATGAATCATGTTTTAGCCAAGCGACTGTTACAGAGGTCTGATTCAAGTTTGCCACTGAAGTAGCTGCATTTTCTCCAACTTGCTTTAGATGACTTTATAAAGGCTTTCTTATTTTTATTTTTTTTGCTCAGATGTGACCAGTAAGTGTTTTGGATTTTAATTTTAATGAAGTAATTCCAGTTTGCATCAAGTATCCCCCTGAATTCCTTTATGATGAGCAAACAGCCTAGTTCCTTGGTGCCATAAATCAGATTCAGTGATGATCATCTGAAAAACATTTACATTGCATAAATATATTAGTAGGACTGGTGATACCTAGCACAGTACCAAAGATGTACATCCAGAGTATTAAGAGAGAAACTGATCTCATTACAGAGGCAGTTTTGATGAACCCACCTCCAAATTCTGTGTTGCTTGTGTGACAGAAGCATTTGATTACCTGCATCGACTAGGTATTATCTACAGAGACCTGAAGCCGGAAAACTTAATTCTAGATGCTGAGGGTTACCTCAAATTGGTAAGACAAGTTCATTTTCAGTATCATATGAAGTATTTCCAAAATAAAATTATGTAGCAGTTGCAGTTTTGTTCTTAATTTCGGTACAGCTTTTATTTTCACCCTTGGAGGTATGGCCTTTGAAAATGGCATAGTTAATACTTGGAACAGTATTACGAGGACATTCATTTTGGCACAGGAATTCAGTGATTACACCATAGCTGTGACTCCCACTAAAGATTCATGTAACAAAATGCCTCAAAATTGAATGTATAAAGTAGTTTTAACTAGATTTTAATTGATTTCTACTATATATTGGGCTGACTATAAAGAATAAGGAATCAATATATTATGACTTCTGCCCAAGACATTTGCTGTCCATATAAAGGGAGAAGATAAACTAAACTTATAATCATGGAGTTTTGAAATTTTTCCAGGTGATTCTGAGGGGCAACCAGTTGACTACAAGCTCTATGAGAGCAAAGATTTTTCTTGTTTTCTGTCTGTGATCTTTTAATGCCTCACAGACTCCTTTGTGTGTCATGCTAAAAAAAAAATGGCTACCGGTCACATGAACTGAGAAACTAAAATGGACCTGCGTGGTCATAACTGAGGAGAAACCATGGCACTTTAGAGCGCTTCAGGAGGGATCCTGCAGGATAGGGAACCAAGGCCAAGTCTCCTTGGGATAGTTTTCATAGTCTTTCAGGGACATTAAACCATTTCTGAACTTAACATACAGTATTATTAGTTTCCTACATCTGAACTTTTATCCAAGGGAATATTACAGTTGCTTAATAAGCAGTTACTATGTTTAAACTTACTATGCTAAACCTTTTTACAGTGAACCTACTTAACAATCTACAAACTAGGTTTTAGCATTCATATGCTCTCCTTGCAAAATGTTACCTTAGGAATTAAATTTCTTATGTGTAAATTCTGAGACCTCTCCCCACAGTGGAGTAAAATAAAAGCCCTTTCATGTGAAATCTGGCTAGCTTCCAAGAAACATTTTGATCCATTCAAGCTCCATTTTATCTATGAAAGACAGCTTTGAAAACTGGTGAGGTACTAACACAAGGCCACAATCATTCCTTATTCACAGTTCCTTCATTTGCTATGCTCCTGCGACTCTTTAGGGAAACCTTTTGGCATATTCTAGAAGTAAAACCATCATGGGGAATAAAGGCTACCCATTGGCTTCTTCATCTCTTTCTTCTCATAGCTGTTTCCTTGAAAAAGTAAGATAATATGTCAGTATTTATGGGCTTAGAAATCAGTGACTCTCCTGTTAACCTTTGTTATCTGCCCTGCTAATTTGCTTGTCAGCCTGCTAATTGAAGAGTAAGAACTAAAGCTTGTAGAGATTAAAAAGTGAATGTTTAATAGGTACATTTCTAACTAAATATAATTTAGATGTCTTGAAAGCTTCTTACTACCAGAAGTCTGAAAATACTAGTTGAGACAAGAGAAGCAGTATTACAAATATATATTGTTGAGTTTCTAAGCCAGCATGGGAGTCCCTCTGGGCCTGGGAACCAAGTCTGAGCAGGAGTGAGTGGTGAGGATCAACCCTGGCAGCTGCCAGCTTGTGAACAGCAACTCGATGTAGTGCTGAGGTTTGCTTTCCATAACTCTGTCCTCTGGGAACGGGACCAATCTTTTGACCTGGGAAGTGTGGGAAAGTTGATGCAGAGAACATTGTATAGAGCCAGGAATCATAGAGATTAAATTCTCAGAGAAAAAGAAAACAAGAAACAAATATCAAATTTGTAAAGACAGCATGAATGCAAAGAAATACGCCTTTCTCGTTATTGGCTTTTGGTAGGGGAACAACAACAACAAAAAGTTGTCTCTAAGAATTTTTGGCCACATGCTGGTCTTAATGAAGACTGGGGACCTCATATTCAAGTATGGGAAAATACAAGCAAGACTTTAAGTGAAATGAATCATGTTGCTAACATACCCAAATTCCCGTGAGCCAGTGTATATTGCCTCTGGAAGAATATACTCAATTCAAGACACAAATAACTCTTGCAGATAAAGTTCCTGGGAATATAAGCTCATATTCAAAAATAAATGTGTGAGGGAAGAAGCTACCGTGAGCATTAATCGCCAAAAACATAAATAAATAAATATAAGAAGCAGACACTTTAAGTGCCTCAAATTGGAGTATTTAGATATAGAATGTACACAAATGCATTGAACACCTTTTAAAATAAGAAAGGGATGAAAATGAATAAGGAAGTGAGATTCTCAAAAAGATCTAACAGGTTTGGGGAAAAAAAACGAACAAAAATTATTAACAAATTAAAAATATAGAACCTGGAATAGAGCTCAGCAGCACAGCACTTGTCTGGTAAGCTTGAGGTTGTGAGTTCGTTTTCCAGAACCAAAAATCAAAAATTAAAAATGTAATAATTGAAATTAAGGATCCCATAGGAGATTTTGTTAGTAGTGGAGTAGTTTGCATTGAGAAATCCTCTTGACATTGGTTAAAATATTTATGTGAATGTGTGTATAGGCGCTAGAGACAAAAAGAAGCAGATATTTAAAGCCTTGAAAAGTAGACATGATGCTAGCCCACATTTAAACAGCTGCTCTTCAGCTGCTTAGCAGGGGCACATCTCAGCGTATAAGGAATGGAGCTGAAACTTTCTAGACAACATCACACCCATTGATGAGATGGTGAGCATTTTTCCATTGGACTGTGCACCGGGCAAGAATATCTCATCACAAGTTTTATTTAACGCTGTATCAAAGGTCTCAGAAAAAGAAATTAAAGAAGAAAAAGAAACAAAAAGACAACAATTAGAAAGAAAGAAATGATGTTCTTTATGTGCAGATAACATACAGTTTTCCGTAGAAAAATCTAAAAGTTACGAAAGAAGTAATAAAGTGATTAAGGAAATTAAGGATGATTATAGGTACAAAATTAATAGACAAATGAAATTACTGTTTTTATGTACTGTAAGCAAAAAAATTTATAAATGAAATAAAGTGCTACTTACAGTCCCATCAAACGTTTTAAAATATACTATTAAGATAACATAGTAATGATAGATAAATTATAAAATTAATGTATGAAAATATATAATAAATCTAGATTAAAACCACAAAAATATCACCAATAAAACATAATTAAATGGCAACATATACTATGTTAATGGACTATATAACTTAATATTTGATGTCTATGCTTTACAAATTGATATATACAGATTCAGGATCATTGCAGTCAATATCTGAGTATCTGTTTATTAGAAGTGGAGAAGTTGTTTTTTCAAAAATTTACAATGTAATATGAAAAGTTTAGAAGAATAAATAACCACTTTGTAAAAGGACAAAGTTGAGAAATTTATATTATCTGATATCAAGATGATATAGAGCTACAGTAATCAAAGCAGTGTGATAGCAGTGTATGGATAAATAACTTTGTCTAGTAGGATGAAGTCTAGAAATAGGCACATACATTTAGAAAAGAGAAAAAGTAAATCTTTTGAAAAGCTATAGCTGAAAAAACTGGACATTCATACTAAAAAATCTTGATTTATACCTCATATATAAAAATTAATTCAAGAATGAATATAGATTTATAAATCATTTAGAAATAAACCTAATATTTTTACATCTAGAGAGATTTCCTAGAATACAATAAGTATTAAACTTGAAGGAAAAAAGATAATTCGTACTTCACCAAAACTAAAAATTTCTAACTGTCCTAATGATGTATATACCTATAATCCTGTCTACACAGGAGACTGAGGTAGAACAATCACAAATTCAAGGCCAGAATGGACAATTTATAGAGACATTATTTCAAAAATTAATCTATTAATCATCAGTCAGCCAATTAATAGGATTATGTTGCTAGGTGACAGAGTGATTGCCTAGATGTGCAAGGCCCTGGGTTCAATCCTCAGTGCCACAAGAAAAAAAAAAAAAAACTTTGACCATCAAAATGTACTACTTAGAAAATCAACAATAAATTGAGAGACACCGTTTGCAGTTTATATTTGCATGACAAAAGACTTGCATCCAGTGCACAAAGAGCTTTTACAATTCATTAATAAAAAGAAACAAACATTTTTAAAATGTTAAAAATGGGTACACTCATCTTATGAAAGAAATATAGGAATGGTCATTTATCTAAATCACTAGGGTCAAGAGAATGCAAATTAAAGCCACAAAGAAATACAGTTTCACACTGACTAGAATTAGTATAGTTGAAAAAATTGGGAATAAAGGTTTGGTAAGTTATTACCCCAAGTTTGTGGTAGGAAAAGCAATTGTAAACTAATTTGAAAACAGTGAGCTTTTTATGGAGTCAGACATATACTCTGCAAAGAAATTTCACTTCTTGGTAATAATCCAGGAAAACTGAAATCACAGCTTTAACATCATCCAGCATGCATGGTCAGACAGCTTATTTCTCAGAAGTCCTGGAACGAGAAAGCATGTACGTATCCATCACCAAGTGCATCCACTGACTTAGGCTACAACATTCAGAAACAGTGTGCTGCTCAAAGACAGAGGAGTGAATGACTACAGGCAGTGACATAAATGAGTTTTTAAAACTGTACTGAACCATGAAAGAGCACCTGGGCAAGATTACATTACCAAGTTCTAGAATGAGTGGTAGAAATGCATGGAAAGATTGTCCCTTGCAGAGGCATTTCATGGGAAAAAAGCATAAGATTACGACTGCCTCTGTCTTGACCAAGGTAGTTGCAATTATGAGTATAATTGACATCAAAAATCACCGAATTGTACACCAAAGATCCATGCATTTTGTAATCTATAAATTACATGTCAATTTGAAAAGTGAAGTGGAAAGATTAAATAACAAGTGATTAAAACAAATAGAAGAATCAAGAGTTTAGAGGAAAATTTAAGTGATTAATGTAAAATATTAATCACTATAAGCACACATACTCACATTTATAGTAGCATAGAGATATGAAAAGGTGGAAAATAAGAAAGAAATGAAGGTACTTGGAAAATAGAGTGGAAAATACATT